TAAAATTAATTTTTTTTTCAATTAAAAAAAATGGGTTTTTTTTTTTTTTTTTTATTAATTTTTTTTTTCCCCACAAAACTCCAGTATCTAAATAAAAGTCAAGAAAGTCTCCCCTTTCATCATTTTTCAAGGAAAATGAGAAAGATGTGATGGTTCCTGGTTCTCAAATGAGAAAATGTTCTGCTTTCCTTGGTCTGACATAGTAAACTGAATCTTTTCAGGTTTGGACTGTTGGTCACACAAAACAAGATGTTGAATTATGTCACCTCGTGCTCTGGGACATTCTGATGGCCTTTTATTTTATTTATTTTTTTTAAACTGATTTCTGAAGATTTACAGACAAAACAATTGATTAATTAAGAAATCATTTAGAAATCAGCAGATTAACAAATAATGTAAAAATCAACCCTGGTTATAATTTCACTGACTGACAGAAAAAGCTGCTCAACTCTGAAGGTCCAGAGATTAGCAAAATATTATGAGATGTACTTAGAGTGTTAATCATGGATGTTTACCATCTGTTAGCATTATCTAACAGAGAACTCGACTGCCCTGTAGCTACAAGGCAGTGACACTAGATGGTTTAATGACCAACAGTCTCATCGATCTGTCTTTTAATGCATGTTTTTTCAGCTTCAACAGTTTCATTTTGTAGTGTGGCTAAAACACAAAATGAAGAGGGATGGAGCTGATACTAACCGGATTGATCATGAGGTTTCTAATAGTTGTTAGCATTGGCGCTCTTTGGCTCAAACCCTGTTGACTGAGGTGAACTGATGGATGAGAGAGATTGAAAGCTGATGATAACATCTCTTAGTTTTAGCTGATGTTAAAAAAAAGCATTTAAGAAACAGTTCTTAAGCATTTTTTACAATCTCAGCAAATCTCCTAAAACTGTTTTCATGTCAAGACAGAAGTCATTTACATCAACACTAAAAGCCATATTAATAACATATTAATAACATATTTATACTTTGCTATACTTTTGCACTTTAAAAGATCATTGTTCAGCTTTAATCTCACTGTGTATTTTAGAAAGACTGGAGCTTTTACTGTAGCTGTTAGGTATAAAAAAAAAAAAAAAAAAAAAAAAAGGGGGGGGGGGGGGGGGGGGGGGCGGACAGACTCCTTCACATCAGAGGTGGATAACACACTGACTGGCCAATTTCAGATTTTTGATAAAAAGCCAATTTTGGGCCGGAAATATTGCTTCAACCCTTATGCTGACTTGCACTGCGAATCAGTGCCGTCAGTGAATCCTTGTGGCAGGTGATGTAAATGACCCATCCATCCTTCCCCTCATCTACACATACATCAGCTGAGTAATGGAGCAGAGGAAAATAATGTGCGGGGGAGGAGATGGTCCCTACGAGGGTTACAGTGAAATCTTGAGCTATGACCCTTTATTACATGTCGGATATTACACAGTCAGTCTTCACCTCTGTGCTCGAACAGAGTTTGTATCAGGATTCTGGGAGTATCAAAGTTATGAGCAGTTTATCTGGATTAAAGAAGCTTTTCCACCTGCAGTTTGGTTCAACTGGTGAGTTAGTCCTGAATGTGGGTGTCACCAAATAACTTCTCAGAGACACTTTGCTAACATTTGTCCATCACAGTCTGTAGAAAATAATCTGTGTTTTATTTAGGGCTGGTTATTGAACCTCAATACTTTTTTTTGATTCAGATAATAAATCAATTATAATCCCGATTTTGTCGATTTAACATTTTTGTCTTGCATTGATAGTTGACAGTGTTTTAAGATGGACAGGTGAGGCAGTGGGTTGGGTATATGACTGGAGGATGTTGCAGTTACAGTTCATAGTATGTACTTTAACTATTATGCCAACAGGAGTAGGGGGAGCCCTCATTATTTTATCATTGTTAGACTGTATTTCATTTAGATGTTGGTCTTGTAGTTCAGATAGTTTATTTTGGTTCTTATTAATATTTATACATAGTAAATACCCAAATAAATGAAGAATAACAATACTGGCCAAAAAGGTATGGGATGAAGCTATAGCTTATCACACTTACCCTCTTTACATAACGCTACATGAATCGCCAACCCTCTCACTATGTGACACACCGCCAATGTGTAGTCAGAGAAAATAAAAACAAGGAGAAGTGAACCAGAAAGAAACTTTTCACCAATAGGATTAGACACATACGATTAAAAAAAAAAACTGAGCAGGAAGCGAGACGAGGTTATTGTACAGCTGATTGTTTAGACTTTTGTTAAATGAAAAAAACGGTTTAGGAGAAATACATGTTTACATTCCTCTAAGCAAGGTACTGAAGTAAGCAATGTTATAATAATGGTATAAAAACTCATCTGTTGTATCAGAAATCTATAAAGAATTTTCAAACAACACTCGTCCTTTTGTTACCTGGTCTAACTGGATCTTGTGTGTGAATTTCAACCACACTATGTGTCTACACAGACTGAAAAACAAAACTGGACTTTATGGTTCAAATCCTTTTCACAAGATAAACATTACTTTGTGTCACATGGAGATTGTGGAGTTCCACAAGGATCGATAGTCTGACAACTTCTGTTTAATCTTTGCAACAATTATGCAGATGACACTGACTACTGACCCACAAGTGCTCTGAACAAAAGGAGTGACTGAATGAGCCAAAGCTTCCTGCAGTTAAAACCCAGATAAAACCTAAAAATGTGTTTTTTCTGACCAAAATCTTTTTAAAAGTGCTGCTCACCCTCAACACCAGAACTGTGATGTAGTCATGGACTAAGACCTAATTTTAACAGCCACATGAAACAAGTTACATCAACATCCACATTATTGGCTTAAAAATATAGAAAAATGGAAAAAATTATGGATTAATCTACCTCACTCCATAAAGCAATCGGAAGCCTGCAGCTTATCCATTTCTTGCCTATTTATTCCATAGAAAATCTAAGCGGGTACGGGGCGCCCTGGTGGCTCACCTGGTAGAGTGCGTATCATTAAGGCTTTGTCCTAACCACAGCGACACAGGTTTTGCTGCAAGCCATTCCCTCTCCCTGACTATCCTGTCTTTCTCTCTCTCACTGTTGCTATGGAAATAAAGGCAAAAAATTACTTAAAAGAAAAAAAAGGAAAGAAAATAAAGAGACTAAATACCTCCAAAATGAACTGAAAGCATTAAAAATTGTTTGAAAGGTGCTATAAAAATAAACTCCCTTTTCCTAAAAGTGTTTTTCCTTGTTCAATATCCCAGGGCTGTTTTCTCTGAAGGTCTAAGCGTAGATAAATATTCTTAGCAGGAACTTTTGGACCATTGGGAGTAATTTACAGAAGATCTTACTCAAGGTGATCTGAGCACAGCACGGCTGCAGCCTGAAGGTCAGTGCATGTTGACTAGTAGAGAGATAAGTGAGGTTACCTCATCTGAATGGTGATGGCTGAGAGAGGACACGGCCTTGTGCCCTACATTCTGAATCAGTGCCTGAATAACACTGGAGCGACTTCTCTGCCAAACTTCAGCACAACTTTGTGTGTTCAGGATTTATCGTGCAGCTTTTGGCAGCAAGTTCCAGAGCTGCCTTCAACCAACCTTTTTATTAATTAGCTGTGAATAAAACTGCCAAACTAAAGTAGTTGGGGAAAAAAGATAAACAAGCAAACAACAAGAAAATCCTGAAACCCAGGCAATTCATTCTCTCTTCTGTGATGCTTCTCAAGTTTTTCTTCAATTTTTTCCTCAAGAATTTTCATTTTCTTCATGAGGAGCATTTACTGCTTTCAATTTGAAACTGTTGATATGATCACAGATACAAATAAAGTTGATTTGACCTGGACCATGGCATCAAGCACCATAACCACATCATGGGTTGTGAACTGAAATCATGTTGAAGTTGTTAAACTATTCTTAAGAGAGAGCTGATCAACCTTTTCACTTTGCTGACTTACAACAGTATTCCTATGTACTTGTAATAAGCTGTTATGGTGATATAACATTTACACCTCTCATTTTTCTCATGCACTATTCACCAGTCCATCGGGTTGTTGCAAGATAAATGACAGTCCTGATTCAAAAGTCACAATATTTGATCTGGAGACTGATTAAATCACATAGAGGTTAAATGAGTCTTCCTCGCTACAGTCTGGGAGATGAATGCATGTGTGAAATGCACCTTCAGCATACAGGTGAGGTCAAGGTGAGAGCGTCTACCTGGAGGCAGGACAGAAGGCCAGCGCCCGGACAGCATGGTCGTGAGCGAGTAAGCATCGATAGGGCAGAAGACTCAGTGACCCGTCTGACTCTCGCACACGCAACAACGCAGACTTTGTGGACAGATCCCAAAGACCCACTATACCTGGAGAGACCACGTAAGCACAGACAATAATGGACTCAAATCAGTGAATCAACATCTTTTTTACATCAGTAATAAAAATGAACCTGGAGGGATCCAGACTCATAATTTATTTGTTCCTTCAAACACTGAACAAATTAATCACGAACATCTCCAAGAAATCTATTCATACCATCATAGAATCCAATAGCCATTATGTTGTGTGGTTTTTCAGGCAGCCAGTCCATAGACAGGACCTGTCCGCTGTGTTCCTGGCGAGGGGCTTTGAAGGAGCCCAGCTTCAGTGTTAACACTCCTTTAGCCTGCAGACGACAAGACGAAAAACAAATATCACTGCAAAACTACAAAAACAGTATAATGATAATAACAATAATAATAATAATAATAATGATAAAAACACAAGGTTGGATGGTAGATTTTCCTGTTGGCCACTAGTTATTTCATATGGTTAAAATTTAACAGGGTAAATGGAGAGTCTACCTGGTATATTGGCAGCTGCTGGCTGGGTTTTCCTGTGGAGAGAAACATAAATCACAGTTTATTAGTGATGGTAATTAAACTAAGCATTGGAGTCTATACAATGAGCATAACAATGAAAAAAAAAAACAGAATCTAGCATATTGGATGTAGCAGCGTAGCAGTCATTTGAATTCCTGTTTTACCTCCACTGGTGCAAACGACATAAAAGTCTATTTTAAGTAATGTGAACTCAAGAGTAGCAGGTTAGCAGTGACGATGAGAAGCATCAATCTGAGCTGTACCTTTTCATCCCCAGATGTACTTAAGTTGAGGGTTTTGCTCAAGCATAACAGGTTTGTAAAGTTCTGTCTGACAAATGTATTTACAGCTGTTTTGAGCTGCCATACTGGAGGAGGGAGTCAAAAGCTGGCTGTCATAGAGGGGGGGTGGGGGTGTTATTGTTTAAATGTGGGGATAATGGTGAACATTTTCAGACAATGATGGATGAAGACGTTCATAGTGTTGCGCTCAGTTGTTCACATGAAAAGTGTCAGAAATAAAAAAAAGAGACAAAGTTCAATCCCAGCCTCCCTTTTTCAGCTCTGCACAGCCGACTAATCACAGTGTGAAGAGAAGTGTTCAGACATAGACCCTCATCATCAGACCCTCTTGGAAAAATGTGGGGGGTTAAGGGGTTTGCAAAGCTATTCAACCATCTCACAATCACTTCTGACAGTGCAAACTGGCAGCTTCAGACTCAGCGGTGCTCTGAGCTGACAGGAAACATGGTGATGGTTAAAACGCTACGCAAATATCAGCATGTTAACATGCTAATGATACCATGCTAACATGCCTACAGTATGTTTGAAGAGAGAGCAACTCTACCCTGATTGCTGCCCTGACTCTTAAGTGAGGTAACTTTGACCTGTTCATGGCAGTAGATGGAAAGCCAGGGGATCACCAAAGTTAACCAAAGGTACAATTCATCCCATGGGAAACATGAATGTCTATATCAAGTTTTACAGTAATCCATCTAATAAACCAAAGTGTCAGACCAGTGGAGCAGCTGATATCACCATCTCCTACGTCCCTGTCGTGGTTCAACATTACTGGATGTTAAGCACCACTTAAGAAGTAATACTGCTGTACCTGCCTTAACACTCACTGCTGTGTTTAATAGATGTAAAATCCAATAACAAAAATAGGTGTCAGACTGTTCCCCATCATTGGTTTTCTCTGCTCCTCCAGTTTAGATTACTGAGAGACCAGATCAATAAGAGTCCTCAGTCTTCTACACCCTCCATCAACTCACCTCTGCCTCAGAAAAACACACACCAGTACTTTTATATAAGCCGCTTGAATGTTAAATGAAGTCCTAATATGTATAATCTTTTACTACTCCAGACCAAGGAGAAGGCCCAGGATGAACCTAAGCCTGTCACCAGGAAGAATATGTAAACTCCTGTTATCCAACATGGATTCAGAACCCTGCACCTGACTGAAATAGCCTATAGCTTTTACTTAAATATTATATTATTAACTATAGAATTAGTAGATTTCTGTATTTTTAACATGAATTTATTGCCTTTACTTTTCAAAATACGATAAAATGAACAAAAGCAGTAAAGGTCAACCATTTTTACAAAATGGTTTTGTTATTGTCCAGATTTAAAATGCAGCGACCACGTATAAAGACCTGAAACTTCACAATCCTAGTAAACACACTGATTCAAACAACTCGTATAATTTTATGGTTTGGTTTAGCAGTGACATGTAAATTTCTACAGCTCCAAGTCTGGTATAAACTGTGATGATGAGTATTTTATTGTGACCAACAGTCTGCTGTAACTGATGAGGGTGATTAGTCATCATCATACACAGGGTTTTTGTGTTAAAGTGGCAATAAATTAACATTAACTAGTTTTAGTCAGTCAGTTGGTGTTACCCTTATTTAAACCTTGACTGTTCTAAAGTCTAAACCAAACTTCCCCTGTAAACCTTTACATTTTAAATCCTAATGTGAAATTAATCTCAGCATTAAAAGCATTAACCCTAAACTTCACTACACAGACTAAAAAGGTGTAACCTTGCCCCCACCACCACCACCCAATTCCAAATAAGTCCTTGATGATTGACAGAGTAGGGATACAAGCAGTGTCAGCTACTAGACCTAAAATTCATACCTTCCAACACTAACAACTGGCTCGGTGATGCATCTTCTTTGTCATTTCAATTATAGATCCTTGTCTGATGGAGAACGGCACTGTAAATTATGTGTGTTCACTACGCCTTCTCACATTCACCCTTTTGTCTTTTTTCTTCTTCCATGAGTTGCCTCTACACACACATACACACACATCTCCAACCCCCCCCGGTCCGCCCTCCAATTCTGCAGCTTTAACAGCCTCCTCTTCTCATTCACTTGCTCATTCATTCTGGTGACTGGACGGACAAAAGCTATTTATAATTATCTGTCGCAAACAGCACTGGGCTGGCGGAGAGAGACACTCACACCCCGTTTAACCCTGCCTGAGCCAATTTCACCTTTAACCCCTTTCAGCTGAAACTGAAGCACAAAGAAATGATTTCCACTAACTAGTCTGCATTCAATTACTGCTCATCAAGACATGCAAGGCTGTAAAGAAATTCCCTGGTCATTTTTCACTGGGTTAAATGCACCTTTACCTTCCTCATCTCCCGACGGTATTTTTCTGCTGGTGGAATAAACTCTAGATCAGAAGCTCAAAATCACACAAGACAGCAGCGTCTGCTTGCAAGTTATTTAGTAGAATCCTACAGGAATTTTACCTTATTATTAGTAGGACGTGAATATTTTTCAAATGTTTTAGGTTAGTTCTGTTGCTGCAGTCTCTCTCTCTCTCTTTGTGTTTTACAACCCATTCCCAAGCCAACACTGAGGAGTCCAACTAATGTAATGGCCACTGTGAAGACAAATGACCAGAGTTTGTGTTTGATCTTTAGCAGATGTGATAAGGTAAATGTGGCGTCAACAAATGGGGAATAAAGGGAAATACTGTGCTGGCTGTAGAAACTGTTCATTCGTGTGCTTCTCCATCCAGCAGGTCGAACCTCTCTTCTTTTTACCTAAATATACAGTCCTGGTTTTGATAGTGACTATATAACCGGTACTTCCTGTAATTACACAAGTATTTTTTGTTCATGTATTATTTATCATTAAATTCATTATTTTAGTCTTGTGTTAGAATGTTAAAAGGCAACTCCACTGACTTTATATATCAAGGTGGGTTTACAGGCCTAGGGGAATATGACTACACATGTGAAAAAGGTTGTATAATGAGATGAGCTGCATTGTGGGTAATGTTGGCACCAGGTTTTGACTGGGAAGAAAAATATGCGGAACAAAAAAAGATCATATACTGAGTTCTGCTGCATCAATTTTGACAATTTTATAGAAATGCAAGTTTTAATTTGGTGAAAGGTGATGGGTATGTCATTCATTTTGTAGGTATTTGGTCATAAACCAATGCAATAAACACATTTCCATTGAGACCTGCTGGTGGTGCTGGATGAAGCGTCAAGGGATGACCACAGTCACTAGGATTTATCCTCTGGGGAGTATGAATATCTGTTACAAAACTAGAGCCACTCCAACCAGGAGATGGAAAGATGTTTTACAAGATGCTGATTTGGGCGCCAAAAGTCCAGCTAGTGTGGCTAAAAAGAAAAGAAATGGATGGTGTTGCATGGTGGTCTGTGCTTTTTAATTAGTGAGACCAGGACAAGACCAAAAACACCATATCGGTGGAAGTCTGGACATTAGATTTTGTCAGGGGTCCAGGGGCCCATTAGAAAGACCAGGGATCTTTAGAGCAATCAGGAGAGTCCTATAGGGCTGCAGTTCAGCCACTGTCGGTGCTTATCAAGGTGTGTTTCTCTGGACAAAATTGTTGGATAAACTGTTCATCAACTGGTTGACCTCACCACTCTAAGGCGCTGCTGCAAACAGCAAAAATGTACCAGTTTGTACACAGGGAATACCAAAATAAGACAGCAACTATTGTTGTTTTTATTCCATTGATTTTGATCCCATTAATCTATCAAAAACAGGGTTGTACCAACCACAGAAGACACTGAGGTCCTGTGGGAGATCCAGCCTACAATAAAATAAAAATATAACACATAGTAGATATAGTAGATTCCATTATTTTTAGACTGTATATTTACATTATTATTTTTAGACCAACAAAAAAAAAAGTATTTACTTTAATTCCAGTCCAGGTCTCCCTCTGCAGTCGTCTGTGTGTGTTTAAGAGACAGTATCTTCAAACGTGAACACTCTGCAACCTTTCTATCCAATAACTATAACCTATGGTGGGAAGCAGGGGGCTGATGTAGTAGCCAGACCCAATGACCCATGGCTACAAAATAAAATGGAAACCAGGGCCCATGAAGCAATGTGGAAAAGGGAAAAAAGAATGGAAATGTCAGGCTTTATTTATCGCTTTTATGTCCAAACTAAAGCACTGAAAATCTTTCTTAATTGTAAAACGAAGCCAAGTGTAATACAGTGGAGTCTCCTATCAACCAATACACTGTATTTCATTTTAATATTAATACATGAATGGCTATGTATGAGGTCCTCTGTAATGGCGCTGCTAAATCAAAGGAAAGCCTTTGTTAGTGTGATACATGGAATTACAGGTGAATAATGGAGCCTGATGTTGGTTTTTATCAAAGTAAATGAATAAACAATAATTTGGGGATGGAAATGTTGAGGAATTTAATTTTACATGGGCTTCAGGAGAGAATTTTTTTGGTTTAAGACAGTGTGAAGAATAAAATTCAGCAGAAAGCTCTGAATATTTGCAGTTTCTCTTAAGAAAATGGCCAAATTTTAAGGTACTAAGTGTCTAACCAAATGCTGAATATCTGCAGTCTTCACTAAAAAAATGCCATTAACCCCACATACACAAATAACAGCCAACTCTCATGTTATACTGTACTACAGACAAGACTTGCTCCAAAGATAAGGCTTAATGGGATGTAAGACGGTTGTGCTGATTCTGATGTAATGCCAAGTATGCGAGTGTTTGAAATGCTATGATCTTAGACTGGTGTAGTGTGTAATCAGATAGGCCCGTGCCGCTGGCTAGACCCAGGCGGATAAACACACTCATGTGCAGACATAACCAGGTTTCTGTGTATGATGAATGTGGCAGATAAGCTCGCCATTAATCTCATTCATACAGTCTTCTATCAGCTGAGCCCCAGAGGCAGCTGACGCAGTGATCTGAATAGACTGGACCACAGGCTCCACCATCCATAATGTCAGCACATACTCACACCCCTGGAGAGCGCTCTGCACATTGGTGTGTTTGTGTATGTTTTTCACAGGGGTGGTTAACTACTGCCATTGTTAGAGCAGCAGTTTGATAGACCCCTCAAGCGCAAGCGCGCACGCACGCATGCACGCACACACACAGTAGACTGAGGGTCTTCATGGAAACTGTCCTTTCACTGAACATGATATCTGGTCAAGTTAATGACGTCCATGACTGAGCTGATGGATATGCTGCTGGTTGATTGATTACATACTAAAGTTTGAGTTAATCACGTTGTGTATGAGTGACACTATCCTAAAAAGCATCACAAAGTGACTAGTGCTGAAACAATTCATCGATTTTTTTTATCATCAGAAAATTAACCAAAATAAAATCATTTTAGCAAATATTTTGATAATCAATGGATTGTTTCAGTAATTTTTCTAGCAGAAATACCAAATGTTCACTGGTTTCAGCTTCACTATTGAGAGGATTTGCTTATTTTTTCTCTTTTTAAATCATTGTAAACTGAATATCTTCAGGTTCCTGCAATTTAAAGATGTTGTCCTGTTCTTGAAGTAGATCCTATGGCCAGTGTTGTGTTGGACCAAAGGACCAAAGGATTGTGAACCTGTGTTGAGACACGTTTTCAACCTCTACAATTCCACCAGCTGAACCTCCAAGTCTTTTAATTTGTTCATAAATACACAATGTGTGCAGGTAATGCTCAAACTACGTATATTTTACAGCTGATCCTATGCATCTTGAAAATAATTAGTTCTTGTTGGTTTTGATGCTTCTTTTGTTCTCTAAAGCTTTCTGTAAATGGTCATTGGATATCAAATGAGTTAAATAGGAGTTTCCTGACTAAATGTCACTAAATGGATCCTCATTTAACTGAGACTCTCAGAGGGGTGCACGGTAAAGATACAATTGCTCAATTAATCAACTGAAAGAGAATTAATCAGCAACTATATTGAGAATTTGTTATGTCACAATTTATGAAAAACCATTAAGTTCTGAGCTGATGCAAAGACAATTCAAACACTTTTAACACCTCAGGCTGTGGGACGTCTCTAGACATTTCATAGACTGAACGGATAAGTGATTAATAAAAAAAATAATCTGCAGTTTATTCAATGAGTAAAATAACCGTGGTGTGCGTGGTGCTTCAAAGTGACAATGACGCCTACCCCTCAACCTCAATTCTTATATTCCTGTGGTCAGAATATGAATGGAAGCTATGGGTGAAAGTCCTCTGAGATAGGATGTAAGGATGTGTCTGAGCTGATACTGAAAGCATTTAAGGGTGACAGGATCTAGTATGTGTCCCTCTTATTATATTTTCCTCTTGCATCATGTTTAATGTGTCATTTCTTGTGGTGTGTGAAGAAATAGAGTCAGGGAGGTGTGCGATACACTCCAGCAAAGCTAATGTTAAAAATAAGCAGTGGGGGTTGGGTTTAGCATGATGTGAACAAAACTAAATCCAGCTGTTTTTTACAATGCTACCATGACCCAGTGATCACCACCTAAAGCTCTGCTTTACTGCAGTCCTGTGTCCTCACCCGCTGCTGCAGGAATCAAATATACTGACTTCAGGCTTTAGTGAGGCAACACTGCCCTCTGCTGAACACTGGACACACTTCATTGTCTGAGTGTGAGTCCAGTCAGCTCAGGGTTGTGCATGTGTAATTTTTAGAGTTAAGGAAATAAAAGCACTTTATCATTGTTATAACACCTGTAACTGAATGGTTATAAATACTGCAAAGGGAATACTGTGGCCAGTTGTGTTTAATAATCACAGTCTTACCAGAGTCAGGGAGGTTGTTGTTGGAGTGCAGAGCATCAGGGTGGGGCAGGCTGTAAATGGTGACCACACCGGTGGAGGTGGCAGCTGCCAGAAGACCCAGTCTGGGCAGGAAAGGAGCCTTTGGGGGTAGGAGATTTAAAATTTTTGAATGCTGTCACAAAATATAGACAACACCAGACCAAATCTGCCTGTAGTGACTTTTAAAAACTCATGTTGGTGGAACCTTACCTTTCTGCCACAGCTGGGCAGCTCCCAGCCTCCTGCGGGACACCACTTCAGGTGCCAGATGAAGCCTTTGTCCTGAGCCAAGCCATAGGCGAAGGCTGGCTGGGAGTCTGGCCTGCAGAGAGGAGGAGGAGGATGAAGGAGACAGAATAAGATGTGTCATAAAAAACAAATGAGGGAGGAAACAATACATTACAAAGGCTGAACAGAGATCTCTCAGATATTTTTATAGACAATAAAAGTAAGAAAGAACAAAATGGTGGGTTAATTAAGGATTTGGCTCAAAAACTGGGAGAAAATTAAAGAAGTTGGCTGCTGAGCAAAATAGTCAAAGATAAAGTAGCTTTAATCCAAAAAAATATGACTATCAGCCCTCAAATAACCAGTGTGCCCTCTTCATCTGTACCTGCTGTTGTACTCCAGTTTGCACACGTCCCACAGCTGAACCAGTCCAGGTCCGGAGTACATCTTGTTGACATAGTGCTGCTCATCCATCCCTCGATGACAGGCCAGAGCGATGTACTGGGAGGCCGGAGCACCTTCAGGTGTCGGACACCACTCCATGGCCCAGACCGGCCCTCCTGCGTACAGCACCATGTCCCAGCGTTCTGGATGAGCAGCTGCTGCTTCAAATCTGGTCAGTTACATTAACAGAAAGGCTTTAAAGATATACTTAATATACTTGAAAAAAATACCACATTTTACCTCTACATTGTCACTGACCTTAAATCAAAATGTATTTTTACTTTATTTACTTACTACAAAAACAATCATCTGGATAATATTTATAATCAAAGCTTAGCAGAACAACCTGCACTGATAGGGACCTTAAAGCTTTAGATTCATAAGAAGCGAATAGGCCCATTCTGCTCATCCCAGTAACTACAAATACAGATGTTTTACTCCACTCTGATCTTTATTAACAAGACAGTTTGGAAAATGAGGATTAAAAATGTAGTTAGATGACACAACAGGATGCAGCATGTCTGAAATGAAAGGTAACTGAAACACTGGTGTCTTGATGAAATAATAATTAAATACGTAAAGGAGCAATAAAGGGTGAAACTAGAAACTGATCAAAGTTGTCTAATGTTGAGCTTCATTTCTGCAGCTTTGTCTCTCAGCAGCGGATCAGTCTCACCTGCTGAGTCTTTGCAAAGGCGTTCCTTCCTTACTGAGGCCTTCTCTGGACAATTTGAAAGCAGCTGAGCGAAGCTCCTGGGGCAGGTATTTCTCCACATCACTAAGTAGAATAGAAGACACACAAACATTTGACTATTAGGGAGAAGTTTGAGACATGTCTCACCCGACATGCAGTAGAGACTTCACACCCGTGAAACAGGCCTGAAATTTTATTGCCAATTAAATCGTGTTAATGACTCAGTGGTGGCTGAGCTGTTGTCTGGCATCTGAATCCACAACCTCCCCCCACCCCTCCAAAACAACACCAACCACAAGTGCAATATAGAAATTCAATAACTATCAATGTTTAAAGCCTTTTTATCTGACTATGACTATTTTTAATATGATTATTTATTATATTTATATACATATTTTATACAGGTTTGAACCCACAACCTTCTTGTCAGGCCACAGTGCTAAACACTCCACCACTGTGCTGAAACTAACTACATGTAATTAAAGTTTGGAACATAATCAGCTTTTAAAGGTCCCATACAGTCTAAAGGTCTCTGTCCACGTGTTGTTTGATTATAAAGCAGGTCTAGGTTCTATATTAATACTGTGAAAGTATCAAAGCCTCAGTCCACAGAGAAATGCACACAGCCTGTATTCAGAACCTGAGCCTTCAAACCAGCCGTCAGGACTTCTGTCACAACAAAGCAGTCACTGGTCTCAACTGTGTCCCAAGCCCCACCCACCTGGACCACCATCCAGTCTTGCAAAAGAGAAACTCAGAACCTCCGCTCTTCTGATTGGCTCACTGACCTGCTGTTACTAGAGCTCCAGAGAGAAGCCTGAGAGAGGAGATGTGAAACTAACCCTAACCCTTAAAACCACAAATATATCTTCTTATGGATCAATACTTCAAAGAAAACACAGGACAGCTAAGAACCCCAAACAAGGCATTCTGAGGTTAGATTTAATGGAAGTATTAAAAAAAAAGTTAACATCTGGTTTTATATTGATTATTTACCCTTATCGTAGAAAACTGGATTAATTTAGAGGTTAAAGAAAGGTTAAAGGTTAACTACCTCTGTGGAACAAGGTCCCAGGAACTTGTGGTGGGGACCCACTCTGGGAACACCCAGCTGCTGTAGTGCTCCTCCCGGCTGAAAATACACACAAACATTACATGTCACAAACACATACCATGACTGCATGTTGTGGCTAAAAATAACACACAGTTTAGTCACTAATACTAGTATCTCAACTCCAGCTTTTTCCAGTGTTGTTTTGCACTTTAGTGTCATTGAATTTGTGACGTGATATCACAGCTGAGTTTTCTAAATAATGTATCAAGTTAAAAAAGTGACATCATGTTAAACTGACTTTTGAAATGCTTAAAATGTTCAGTCTGAGGCTCTTTAATGTTATATCTCTATACACAAGGTAAAACAAGGGCAGAAGCAACCACAAGGTGCAGCTACTTACAACTTCTTGGTCGACTCTATGGCGTCCCAAACAACTTTCATGACACTCGCGGCGAGACCATTGGGGGTTTTGGCATTGGAGCCTGTCTGCAAGAGAAAAGGAGATTTGGATGAGTTGTTACTTTACAGTCCGGTCACATTAATTTTGCAGAAATGTTCATTTCACTTAAAGGAATCTTCACTTTAATCTAATTAATAATTATTCATGATTTGGTATTGATCAGTTATAATCAGTTATGAAACCCCTAATTTGTAAATGAAAGTGAATTTTGTTGGGGAAATTTGTATTCAAACTGTCCATTATAAGGTATAAGATTATAAGTCTCCATAACACAATGTTTAGAGAGGTGAGTGAGTCAAATGTGATCATAACTAATAAGAATGATCGCCAGTCACAAACTGACTCCCACTGAGAAATACAGTGAAGATTAGAACACTACTAACATTGGTCCTGTTGTGGTGATAAACTGCCGGACTTCGTCCACTGGTCCTGAAGTCTAAGTCCAAATCTGTGTCCTCTCCTTCTTCTTCATCTTCCATCTCCTCAACCTCGTCTTCTTCAGCACCTGGGACAAAGTCCTCATCACCTTCGGCATCACTGTCAAAAACAGGACGTTTCCTCTTTTTGCCTTTACGCCCTGTAGGAATATAAAGACAAATCATCCATGTCAGAGAACACAGAGATCTTTACTGCTGTTAGTAGACATAGATGAATCCTTCTATTACAGTGTAGGTAATTTTACATTACACGTTTTATTGACATACTTCATTGTCAATAACACAAATTCAGCTGACAAACCATTTCAAGATAAAAATGACCTGATGGGAATCCAGTAGGTTACATATGTAATTTTAAAAAGCACAGCCAAGAAGCTGTCTCACTACCTAATTCAACCAGAAACACTAAAGGGAAAGTTCCTTTGGTTTAAATTAACCCAAATTATTACAACAGGTAATATGGTATGGTTCAATAGTAAGGGTTGCTCGCTGGCACACTGGGACAGTAAACTCAGGATCTTACTGTTCTGATCTCTGCTTCCAGCTTGTTCCTGACCCCCAACTACCACGAAAGGAAAATACACATGCACATTTCCATCTCATCTTATCTTTCTGAGAGCCACACTGTCACGAGTATGACGCAGCACTTTCAGTCAGGATTGAGGATTTAAAAGCAAAACTTACATTAAAAAGACCAGTGTGTAGGATTTAGAGGCATCTAGTGGTAAATACTCCTACTGAATACCCCTCCCCTCATGTTCTCCTTCCCAAACCTGTAGGGGACAGGAGACTCTCTCTAGAGCCAGTGTTACTACTGTATGTAGCAGGACTTTCACTGTACCTTTGCCTCCTTTGGGAGTTTTCTGCTCTTTGAGTGAGTCTTCGTCGCCTTCACTGTTGGCACCTGGCTTGGAGTCTGACTCATCACTGGGATGACCAAGCACCTCTTTTGCCAAGGTGTGGAGGTACTTCAATGCCCTGGAAGAGATTTTTCACATGATTTTTTAAACACTGAATGACTTGATTACCATTTCAGACCTTACTTGTAGTTTTGAAGACGCGTAAAGCCGTTGGCCAGTAATTGGAGAGTGACGTTCTCAAAGGTAAATAAGTTGGAACAGAATACAGTGAATTCATTGACAGACTTACGCTTTAGCAGCACCTCTCATGCGGCGGCCGCCCGGTTCGATCTCCTCCTGAGGTTCAGCTGGGTGTTCCCCTTGAGCCTCCTCACATGGTGGTTCAGTAACTGGTGTTGCTTTCTGCTGCTTCCTTACATACTTTCTCTTTGGCTTTGGTGTCCCATTTTCCTGCTGCACATTATCTACAACTCCTCCCTCTCCACCTGGGAGGGTCCCAACAGCTTTGGGAGTTCTTTTGGCAGGAGTTTTTTTGGCAGGAGTTTTTTTGGCGGGAGTCTTTTTGGCGGGAGTCTTTTTTGATGGGGTCTTCTTGGCTCTCACTGCCTTTTTAGGAGTTTCCTCTGAGGTTTTTCCATTAGACTCTTGAGGTGTTTTGTTCGTGGCTTTTTCTTCTCCATCAGCAGCCTGTTGTGTTGCATTTTTAGCTTCTTCAATCTTTGCCGGAGTCGTTTCAGAGGCTTTCTTTGCTCCCCTTCTGCTCTTTTTAGGTGTTTTTTGCACAGTAACTGTGGCATCAGTTTCATAATCAGAATATTTGGGATTTTTCTTCCGTTGTCGTCCTTTTGAGCTGGGCATTAAATCCCAATTCTTCTCTGATGGCTTTTCTTGCCCTGCGAGGAAAATGATATTATTATTCCACAGGTGTACAGCACATTGCATAAGGGTGAGAACAAATAAATCAGTTAAAAAAAAAATTTAAATTGCAAGAAGATATTGCTTCACGAAACATCCATGTGCAAAACTATCTTTCCATTCTGTATTCTGTGTTTATATCTCACAAATGCTACTCTTACAGGCTGCAGAAAAACCGTACTATGCAACAAAGTCATATATGTCAGGTGTCACTGGGAATAGAAGAAACAAGCACAAATTAGTAATTCATGTTCTTGAATGAGTCATTTGTGCAAATTAAGCAATACATTTTCCTCTCCAATTAATCTGTTGTGTGCACAAATTAATTTGTGCTCTTGAATGACCAACTTTGACCACATCGTGTATGTCTAACATGTGTTCAAGAGATGTCAAACATGACACAATGTTGTTTAAGAGGGAAAAAGCGAAAGAATATTTACGTATATCTCTGCCCAAAATAAACACAACACTGCATTAAACCCAAACAGCTTGCAAACTCATTATTATTATCCGTGCCCTTTTTTTTTGAGTTGCATTAGGATACACTGTTGTAATATGTGTACCTGACTCATAGCAGCCAAAGCCAACCAGATATTGCCAAAAAGCTGTCTAATTTAGCATCAACGTCATGTTAAAGAGTGGTGTATGTACTGTGTAATCTATGTAATAAATGCAGTAACCTAACAATACCAATTCAAACACAGCACATTTCTCCACAATTGACCACTAGAGTCCACAACCTGTAAATTCAGGTCTTATTGCTACAGTAACTTCACATTCATTTTAGTGCACAGATTACTAAATTGTGCTCACAAAATACACGTGTCAACATTGTCATATCATTTTTATAAGGAATAATAAACTAATGCTTTTTAACAGCTGGTCAAAAAGCCGCTACAGTAAACCTTGTTCAGAGTCAATGGGATCCATAGGCTCTGGGTGTCTTGTGTTATGTCTGTCTGGTCAGATGCCTCCTCATGTGTAGAGCAGGTTTCTTCTCACGCTGGCTTTGCAGCTGCTCAGACAAGAAACAAAAATGAACACAAACATTCATCAACTGTTTTTATGCACAGTATCTGTTAGAATTACTTCTGAAAATGTGATACAAACAACACAAGATTTGTTTCCAAAGGTATACAGTGACCGTACACGTGTAGTAACTTTTTATCATAAAACTAGTGACGGACTTAGTCAATGTTGTCACAGTTCAGCCAGTAATTACAGTAAATAACATTTCCAGAGACATCTTTACATTATTTTACATAGTCTGACAGCTTGTAAGGAGACTAGACAATGACTGGATCCATTTTGATAATTGATTAATAATTTGAATATGTTTTAATGAAAACCTATCCAACCTATCAAACATGATGATTTCCTTCAATACACTGAAAAGGTCACCTTGGACTCAAAGGTACTGGGATACATTTAACTTCACTGACATTTTATAAACGAAACGACTAATCCATGAAAAAAATATCTAGTTGCTGGACTAAAGTTGATAGTTCAAAGTAAATACTGTGCCCAGGAGAAGTCAGAGCCAGGAATTGATACCGATATCACAGCGATATTCCTTAGTCTGAGACTGACGAACCAAACCTCATTCAAGGAATGGGACAGTTTTATTCTCTCTTCTGAACTGGTAAGTCTACGTGGGTAATAGATAGATGAAGATGACATTACCTTTATATTTTTAAGTCACTCATCAATTCGGCAAATCTTTTAAATATGAAATATATCAAGTAATAAGTTATTTAAAAAATAAACTTCTGTAACTCGTTTGTTTTCCCAGTGACACATCTCCTTCCAACCACGCTACTAAGCTAACACATACGGCTAACGCTAACTGATAAAAGTGGCAGTGGAGTGTAACGTTCTTTCACTCACTTAAATAATGGCTGTACTTTTTAAAAATCGGCATGTAACCGACACACGTTACCGGTCATGACTACTATCATCGTTAAAAACTCACCCTGCGTCTAGTCGAAGCTTCCTCCCCGGTGGCGAAGGCTGAAAAGCCTTGAACCGAGCCCGGGAAGCTAGACTCCGGTCACTCGGTATCGAATCCCAAACTCTGCTACCGGGAACGACAACGTAGAAGATCACCGGAGCCGTGCAGACATAACGGACATTTACATCCAGTCGTTATTCTTTCACGGATGGCAAACTGTAAACATCACCTGCGCTGTTTCCAGTGTTTCAGGTTACTGAAATTCACATTCTGCTTACATCAGGTCAGACCGCCATGTTACTGTACAGGCATGGTGGTCCACACCGTCCCCTATGTGCAGAGAGTGGAATGACACCGAATATCTACAGTAGCAGCCGTGGGTTCAATCCTTGCAGTCAACAAATGTCTTGGGGATGTCATCAAATACATTTGAACAATTCCAAACATGTTTTATATTACATTTTTTATTTTATTACTATTTTTGTTTTTTTGTGAGCACTGCCCTCTTTAGGCATTTTTGAGCTTCAGTTAACGTTCACATTAAAGGTCAGAATTTGGAAAAAAATGTGACACATTGACTTGTGTCAGATTGGCTGGTTTGAGTATTTCTGAAACGGCTCTCCAATCTTTGTTACTCTGTGAGCTATTTTCACAAAATAAAAGGGGCTGATCACTCCTCATGTCTTATAGTACTGGTACATTTATTGACTTATCGTATCAAAACACTCACAAACTGATCTCCAAAACAAATCAGAGGAACAAGATAATTTAACAAGTCATCAAATATCAATATCCAAAACTCACATTCTGTACTACAACATCTGAAACTCACATCAGACAAAAATCTGAGTCATGATTCAGTCAACCTGACCACACACATCTGATAACACCACTGCCAATAAACGTCCATAAATCTGCTTAGAAATCCGAAAAGTCAGTCAGTTATCCAGTGATGGTTGTCACTACATCAATGGTGCATAACAAACGAGAACTTAAAAAAGTCAATTTAATTCACTTCATTTTCCAAAATGTAAACAAACATGGGCTAAAAAATTGGGGTTCAAGTTGAAGCCCACAGTTTAAGTCACTGTATCCATGGCAACATATTTCTTCTTCTTGGGAAAGTTTAGTTTGAATCTGTTCTCTTATCAGAAGAGTTGCTACCACTGATGATCACTCTGATGTAAACAAACTTGACAGTAACCCATTTGACTGACAACTGGCAAATAATTATCTGGTGTTGAAGAGGCGTGGCTATGTCTGTGTATTCGATTTAGTTGCATTTGGAAGAGATTTACTGAGTGAAGTTGTGTTGCTTAAAGTTTGATTTAAACATCCATGGTTTGCACAGACTATATTCTCAGAACCTTTGGGTGAGCTACTCTAAAACAGAGGGTGAGCTACTGGTAGCTCGTGAGCCACCTGTTGGAGACCGCTGCTCAAGAGTTTTTACTCAGAATGGTGCAAAAAACAAAATCAAAATCATCAAGTGAGCAGCAGTTCTGTGGATTGGATTTACACTGTGTTGATGAGAGAGGTCAGAGAATGACCACTCACATTCAGAGAACAGGATCATCAAAATTGGAGTTTTCAAGTCTTGAAGCCTAGTCTAATAAATCTGGAATTCTGCTGAGGCTCACAACAACATGAATCAATGGTCCCAACCTGGCTTTTGTCAACAGTTCAGGCTGGTGGAGGTGGTGCAGTGGTGTGGAGAATGTTTTCTTGGCACGCTTTGGGCCACTTAATACCAATCAATCATCACTTGAATGCCACAGCCTATCTGAGCACTGCTACTGACCATGTGCATTCCTTAATGGACAAAACTTACCATCTTCTAAGTGTCCTCCCCAGTCACCAGGTCTGAATCCAGATGTTGGGATGTTGTAGAACAGGAGATTGACAGCTGACACACATGCAGAAACGATGTGATGCGATCATCTCAACATGGACCAGAACCTCAAAGGGAAGTTTCCAACATGCTGTAGAATCCACACCACCGAGAACTGAGGCTGTTTTTGAGAGCAAATGTGAGTCATATTGTGTACTGAATTTTTATTTATCATTATTCATTTACATTTCATCTTATTCTTTTATATCCTAGTTATATGTTTGTTAATAATGTGTCATTATGTGGTCATGCTGCATGAGAACTACTTTACCACTAAGAAAATGATGGAGGGGAGTCCAGTCCAGGAACATGTGGGAGCAGGCTAAACCCTGACAGGTGAGGACCACTCCTGCAGGAAGGCTGAAGAGAGCAGGTCACTGGATGAACCTGTGGATGGACAAAATCTAAAAAAATAAAAAATATTAGGAGCAACAGGCACTCGAATTGGGGTGCTTTACTTACCAACCGGCTTACAGTACCTCCATCACTGTTACTGAGGACACAGAGCCCAAAATGACCATGAATTAAATTTTTAATTATCTGTTGTTATAACACTGCTAGTACTATGAAATAGCAGCACATAACTTCTAAAAAAACAAGTAATAACATATTAAATATACAGATTCTGAATGTACTGTTGGCTGAGACAATAACCGCTTTCACTTGAACAGAAATGATGTCTCATAAAATGAAAAAAAAAAGTGCTTTCTTGCTTTGTTATTACAAATGGTACAAGGCTACTAACTGAATCTTAATTTAAATCTGGCCTAGATAATATATGACTGTATATTTTCTGTGTGGATGGTGGTGATGGGGCACATGATGTGAGAACAGCTTTTAAGTGTTTTCATTCATTTAACGCACAGAGCACAGTAACTTTCTATTTCCAGCGTTACATCGAGAACAGCCACTGGATGAAGCCTTCCTCAGGAGGTCAGGACCAAATCAACGATTTTAACCAAGATGTTACATGTTCACTAAACACCCAGAAACACAGCATCTGCATGGGTTGATGGGCTATGATTAGAAAAACAAACAAACAAAAAAAACAATCATTCAAAGGTAAATGAAACCTTCAGTATTTGGTAAATATTTGATGCCCCTCACTAGTCCTCTCTGTTGTGAAATTAGAAGCCTGCAGTAGTTAACAACTCATCTATTGGCACTGAAATACAAACATAACGACAGGCTCAATTTGGATGATACATCTGGGCTCCAACATTAAAAAAAACATATGCTACTGTACATAAAGTAACAGCAGGATGACAAGGTGCAAAGTGAAAACGTGTCTGAGCTAAACTACTGTAGTTTATCCCGCGATATAAGAAGTTTAAGCCATTAAATGTCTGATTTCACCGAAAAAGCTTCTTTTTTTTAAGTATAAAATGAAATGTAGTCAGAGATCCAGGGTGCTATATGAAATACTCGTGGTCTCTTAATGCTGAGCGATGCTGTTCTTTGTGCCATCAAACAGTTCAAAGTGCATGCATGGTGATAAAGATTTGGTCACAAGCATAATCCACATGGGAAGTATTTCAGCAGCAACGGCAAAACACCTACAGTGAGTCAGTGGTCAAATTTGTGTTCAGGTGCCACCAAAGGGTCACGAGATAAATCTTAACGAGAAAATTAACAGGTTAAAAAAAAAACATGTAAAAATAGTTTCCAGATGTTCCTCTCATCTTTGCTTTTTTTCTTATAAATTACTGGGCAACATTGCCTCTTATTGCCTCTCTTGGTTGACTTGGTTATAGCCAGTGGTTCACTGTAACAATGGGTTACCGTAACGATGGGTTACAAGTAAATATTGCTTTATTTCAAGGTATCACAGGGCATAAAGGTCGGAAACCACTGACCTAGGCGATGAAAAATAATTACATTAATTATCTCATCATAATTATTATTGGGAAGTACTGGGCATTTAGCATGAATAGCAACATCCACAGTGCCTAAACAAAAGCCCCACTGCAATACATTCAAACTTCATCAGAGTCAATGTCTTAGTAAATGATGCAACAACTGACTAGCACCACAAGTAACATAATACTAAGTAAACATAGAGTAAAAACTAAACTTGCACATCAGTGTACTGGGTCCTATCACTCAACACACTTTGGGATCGATCGGGATGTCAAGAGAATGGATGAATATTATGTTATATAATCAACTGAACTACGGAGCTCCCATGAAAATTACACATTTCTAACGTCGACAGTTTAAGCTGCACAACCACTTTTATCAGCAAAAGAAATATAATAAACAGTGATGTTAGGGTTCTAACACTCTTAGTGCTTGGACCCCTAATAGAAAGGCATTCTCAGGCTTATTACTCAGTGTTGAGTAAAAGAAAATGTTTTCCACCACTTTTTGAGATCCATGGTGAATAATAATAATAAAAAAAATCAAGCTTTTTGAAATACTTCCCATGTACCAGGAGGTTTTCTATCTCAAACTAAAACAACCCAGGCTGTTCTTCCAAAAGGCATCTGATGGAGGGCAATGAAGGGTAAAGCACTTTCAACACAATCAGATACAGTAAATATTTTTACATGGTTTGTTAAAGACAGATTCACAGATTAAAGGGTAATCCTCGCTGAATGTTTCCAATGATAAATGATAAACAGAAGTGCACAACAGAGCGGGAAACCAATAACCAAATACATTCATAAATGCAAAAAAAGTAAAAAAAACAAAAACAAAAAACAGTACAAACAAATAACAACAATGACAACCATCCATAGCCGTACACCACTATAGTAGATACAAAATGCAGAGTACATAAACATTAGGCTACATGCTATTGGTTAAATATTCTGAGACAAAAGCAGGTGTGACTTTGAAGAATTAACAGAAAAGAAAAACACCCACCCTCCATGTTAAATACTTTCCTTCATTAGACTTCACCTGTGTCAGTGTCTGTGAGTGAGGTGGAGAGGATGTGTGCTTCCCTATAATCCTGTTCATTTGATCGTCAAAAATCCCCCACTCTGACCGCATGTCCGCACTGTAACATAATCAATAAGTCACCAGACATCCTCAAAGTTTATTGGCTTTTGTTTCTTGATTAAACATTAAGAACCGTCATATTTCTGTGCTTTCTTTGTGTCCCTGCTGACATTAGTTCGGTAAGTGAACAATCGTCCAACTTGGAATGTTTAAAATGGTTTTTACAAACTGAGCGTTCTTAACATGGACAAAGCAGTTTAAGAAAAATATTAGAGCTGAAATGATTAGTTGATTAATCAATGAATCATCTGCCAGAAAATTGATTGGCAGCTATTTTATCTAATGGTTTTCTTTGTTGATATTATATGAAACTTCATAACTTTTATTTCGGACTGTTTTTCGGACAAAACGAGACTTTTAAAGACATCACCTTGATAGAAACCGTGATGGGCATTTCACAGACAATATAACTCATTGATTAATCCAGAAAAATAATCAGCATATTAATCAATGATGAAACTCATCGTTAGTTGCAGCCTTAAAAAACATCTTAAAGGTCCACTTACTTGCTTTTTAGAGAACTTTAAACTCACATCTGCAGGGTTTGTCAGCAGAGAAAGAGGAGCTTGGAGAAAGCAAACTCCATCCACAGAGGAAGACCAGCTTTCAGATGTGGTTGAAAGCTTGGGAAAAAGCTAGTAAGTGGACCTTTAGTTTAGATGGTTCTCTGAAGTTTGGATGTGTCGAGGTGGTGGTCTTTACTTTTGTTAAGCTAAGATAAAAAAAAAACACATCACTGCAAATGAAAGATTCTCACATCTCAACAACCTTTAAAAAACAGATCTCAAAACTACATGAAGAGATGGGCTTCACTCAGCGTTGGGGCCCATTTTAAGATCTAATTAATGACATTAATCACAATTTTACTTTTTTGATGTTTCTGCTAATCGGAAATTGTGTGTTGAGGACATTGAGAGAACAGTGTCACCACTAGCTCAATATCTTGAGAAATAAACTGGTTTAGATGAGAAGATCGATACCACTCACGCCTGTGTTTAGTATAGAGCTACATTCAGGGGGCGCTTAGTTTAGCTTAGCCTGAACACTGGCAACAGGGGGAAATAGCTAGCCTGGCTCTGTCCAAAGTACAAAACTACCCTTACAAAACTTCTAACACTGGGTACTAAACAAGCTGCATCTCATAAGTATAAACACAAATGAAACAACATGAATTAGTGGTTTTAAGAGGAGGTAAAGGCTGTAACTATTTCAGCTCTGAAGTACTGGAGCGATGGATGGACTGTTGTTTCGGACTTAAGAAGAGTGGTGTTGATCTTTTCATTTGATAAAATGTTTCATAAAATGTTGAAGTGTATCTAGTAACTTTTTTTTTTGCCTTTTTTTTTTGCTTCATTGCGCTTCATATAAGATTTGCCTGTTTGAACAAATGAAATCCCACAGATGAAAATATGGTAGGGAAAGAGAAAAGGTAAGGGAGAACTGATTCTATCAAATCTGACCAGAAAAGTTACACTTCCAATGTTATTTAGCCCAGAAAAGGCCAACTGGTTGTAATTAAAAGTGATGATGAGCAGTATGAAGTTATATCGATCATACTTAAGAGGCACAAAATGTTTTCAGAGAGAGAGCGACTAGACAAGTCTAACAAAACACTAGTCTGAAGCATCCTCTCTTCAGTTTAGAGTAACTTTTTCCCTTTCAGGTAAACATAAAAGTGTTTATCAAACTCTTTAAAAGAATAAGACACATCGAAAGTTGGTGAAAAGAATCTGTTACATATAAACACACAGATAAACGGTATAACTATATTTCTCAGGGCTATACAGCGACAACCATTTCAACACAGAGAGCCAGCGTCTGAACCAGAAGTGTATCGTCTCGTAACCACGCCGACACCTTGAGGTTTCCTTGAAGGAACCCGTCATCATCTAAAAGCTTTCTCAACTTCCAAAACATCAGAAGTTACAGATTGTAGCTCTGTCGTCAGCTGCCTTCTCACCTGTTTGCCTTGTGGGAACACGTGGATTTGTTTTCATCATGTCACACTGTCACAGCTAATAAAGTGTGGACGGACACCCGATGGTATCTCTTCCTACCTCTGTTAAAATCAGCTCTGGTGCATGAGAGCATCTGACATGTGTTTGTAAAGTGTAGTTTTGGGGGTTTTTTTTAAGTGTTTCTTTGTCGCTTTCCAGCCTCAGGGTGGGGCTCCATGATGCCCGGTCGTTTCAGATTCCACTGGTCAATCTGTCTTTGCCTGTCCTGCTGCTCCACCTCTGATTCGCTGGATGAGCTGCCGGTATTACTGCTGCTACTGCTGCTGCTGCTGCTGCTGCTGCCGCCGCTACCACCTCCGCCAGCGCTACCGCCTCCACCAGCACCAAAAGCAAAGCAATCCTTCCTCTTCCCATCAGCCTTCCCCCTCTCCCCTCCCCTCTCCCCCTTCTCTCTCCTTTTAACCTCCACCATCCCGCCGCTGTCCTCTCCGGGTTTGTCAACATCAGCCATCTCCATCTCGATCGGGGCCTGCTCTGGTCCTGGCATGGCTCCTCTCCGGTCCATATCCACCCACAGTGGTCCCGCAGGGGGCTCTAGAGGGGTGTAGTGGAGCATCGGCTGCTGGAGCTGGGTGTCCACCTGTGGAGGGAGGTTCTGGTGCTCCGGATGGAGGAGCTGGGTTTGGTGCTGGAGGTGATGCAGTGGCTGCAGAGGGTGCTGCATTGGCTGGTGTTGGAGCTGATGTTGCTGCTGATGGTGGTGGTGGTGGTGGTGGAGGTGGTGATGCTGCTGATGATGATGATGCTGGAGGTGGTGATGGTGGTACTGATCCACAATCTGCTTGTCCACATTATGGACAAACTCCTTGGACTGGTTTTTGAGGAACTTCTCAAATTTCTTGGAGGCTTTTTTGTTTGTCACAAACCAGTCCTGTTGACACACACACACACAAACACACACACACACACACACACACACACACACACAGGCGCAGGAGGAGAGGAAGCACACGACAGGGTCAGAGCAAGTTAGCAGGGGTGAGCGTGTGGCGAGCGTTCAATTAAATGTTGTCTGCTTACAGTGACACAACCAGAGAGAGCAGTTCGTCGTTACCTGTGAATGGACAGAGTTGATGTGATATTTCACTCCACTCTCAGAGTTAAACTCCTTGTTGCAGATGAGACATCTGTATTTTCCGGCCTCAAAGTCGCCCTGAAATCAAATCAAATGAGAGAACCATGAACTGATCATCAAGCTCTGGAAAATCTCACACTTTAACAACTATTCACTGGGCTCATGAAAATACAGACATCTCCGCTCTCTGCTCAGACTCTTAAAGTTTATTGTGGTGTGTTTTATAGTTTATTATCACACTGTGTGTTATATTGCCACAAATTCCAAGAAGCACAGTTTCTGTACATTCATTGGTCTTTGCACACACTTGAACAGAGACAAGGGGAGGAAGATGACCTACCCGTGTGCAGAGTCCCAGATGAGCCTTCAGCCCAGACACACTGGTGTAGGTGCAGCCACAACCCTGACGGAGACACAAATGTTATTACAACAACATTATGGATTTCTGCTCATAGAACTGGATTATTTGGCTTGAAATATAAACTAAAGGAATCTAACAAATATAAATATCACCTCCACATAGAGCAAGACCAAACATGACTGAACAATCAATAAAATGAACAGACTGAAAAATAACTTTCTAAACATGTACATTGTTTGATTTGAGTTATTTCATTTTTATTTCAAGGGATTTTGCTGATGGCTGTGTCTTATTTTCTATATCATATGTTATCATCCTCATAGTATTATATAATAACATACAATACAATAAGCACCATCCCATAACCAGCCTTCAACCACATCACTGAGAAAATCAATTAAATTCAAAAATGTGATTATCCCACATAATCTGAAGAAGTAGTTCTGTACCTGGTTGGGACACTGGACTTTCCTCTGCAGCTTCACCTCATTCTTCCACTTCCTCAGCACCTCTTGACTGAAGGCAGGGAGGCCTGGTCGGGCATATTTTAACTATGAAGGACGACATGAGCAAGAGGAGGTTAATGAAACTGCAAAGCCCAATTCAGGCATATATGTACCAACATTATACTGGTATATATGGTTGTTGTTAATATCTCTGTGCAGTTGCCTTAAAATGATTATAAATAAAACCGACTACTTTGTGAAAATGTTTTGCAGTGTTCTGAGTAAAGATACCCTCATATATTCTCCAACTACCCTGCATATAATCTGATTCTCCTCTTGCCTTTTTGTCATCGGGCACCAGGTCTGACTGAAACTTCCTCTTGGGCCAGTCTTTGGGCAACTCGTTGTTGGCAATTTCAGCCAGGTGGAAGTTGGCCACCTGTGCCGAGGCTCGCTGCACCCTGCCGCTGGCCGTCCTCTCCGGGTTGGCCTCCCTCTGGGCCTTCAGTGCCTCGTCTTCCTCAGTCTTCTGGGGCATCTGGGTAAGAGGAGGGGGACAATTTCAAGGCGTATGTTATACATCTTAAGACTTAAGAGTTTTAAATTGGATGAAGAAGATATTTAAAAAATATTCCGATTTAATCCAGAGCATTTTTAAATGTGCTAATTAAACTGTGTCTTTGGTCTGAATCACCTGAATTAACAGATTAAAAAACATAGGACTCACAGGAGCATGCTCTGATTTAAGGTGGTACTCCAGACCAGCCTTGGATTTGTATGTTTTCCCGCAGTGGGAGCAGTTCAACAACATCTTCTCCAGCTCGGACTCCTCCTTCCCACACTTCTTCATGTGGTATACATAGCCCATAATACTGGTGAATGCAGCGTTACAGCCCTGAAACAGAAAAAAAACAGAAATCATTGTACCATGCCATTATCTCTTCTCACGTCATACTTATCCTCCTTTCTTAGATGGATATGATTTGTCAGTTTACCTCTTTAGAGCATTTTAATTTGCCCAGTCTCTTCAGGATTTTTCGCAGTTTGTCTTTGATGGCGCGATCATCCAGGTCCTTGGCGTCGTCTGCCGAAGGCTACAAACAAAAAGACTCATACTCTATAAAGAGTGTGCTTCAAAGCATACTCTACTTCAATGAAAGCTTTGTTCATCAAGTGATGGACGGTTCCTCACAGTTATACAGCTGAAACATCATCATAGTTGAAAGCAAATCTGACTGTTGCAAACTGTGTGTCTGAGACGGAGGAAATAACTCAATGTGTAAAGTTTAAAACTGGTAAAAGAAGGTAGGCACTGTGAGGATTAGAGATGACTAGTCTTACCAGATGACTGTGGTCAGCCATGATGTGATACTTCATCCCTGTTGAAGACTTCAGCTGTTTCCCACAGTGTTGACAGGTGAAAGGTTGCTGCACACAACAGATGAAAGTTACATCACATACACCAATTCATTAGTTTGTGGGCTTTACAGTTAGGATACATTCCAGTGCAGATGTGTATGTTTTGTCTTAATAACAGCAGATTCAGTGATTGCTACATTCTACTGCTATGCTGTATGGAATATATATGAAAGGCTGTACGCTTTAAAACTGTATTTATTGTAGACTAAGTAAATGTATAAACGTGGAGTGCTCACCAGTCGGCAGTTCTCCATGTGTTTCTTCAGCCCCTCCACAGTCTTTCTGCTCACACTCTTACATTTCGGACACGTGACTCTGCCTTTGGCCACAATCTGGAGCTGCCAGCGCTCCTCTTGACTTCCTGGTGGATGCCAAGAAATAAAGATATTATTTATTTTACTCAGTAGAGATGTTCCAGAAGGAGGAGTGTCCAATATAAAGTGTGATTATATAAAGTCCAAGTCTCAGCTGTAGTCTATTGCTACAGAATCTCACCGGGGGGGTAGGTAGGAGGCTCCTTCTTGGTGCTGAGGACCGGAGGTTTCTGCTCCTCGCTGGGCTGAACGGTCGAGGCCTCACCAACACTGCCTCCATCTGAACCTGAAATATTTTCATCAGACGAGTAGTTTTAATTTTTATCCAAAACCGAGTTAGTCTTTTCCTGCTTCCTCTGTTGCCCGTGCTCTTCTTTCAATCCACCTGAACAATATGTTTAAACTGAAAAAATAAAGTACTATCAAAACCTTGCAAATTGATTGTGATAATTATGCTCTGTACGACAAGAAATGATTACAAACCAATCATTTTCCTCCTGTTCAAATAGTTTCAGCTACATCTACAGCAGCTGAATTTTTTTATTCTTTATTGATTGATCTGCACGAACTGCTGCCAGAAAATTACAACTGCTGATACTAAGTAAACTCATCTCAGTAATACTTAACATGATTAACAACTGTAGGCCCAAATGAACATAAGTTCCACAGGGAAAATAACAGTGCTATCACTGAGCCGAAATGGAAAAAATGCCCTCTACTGATCAATCAAAGACACTGTCAGTGGGAATGGTCCAACAGGACGCTCTATCTGAACACTGAAGTGTCTTTTAACGCTGCTGCTCAGCACAATGAGGCGTCAATCCACTTTATAATTAGGGCAGATTTACTGTTTCGTTCCCTGAAGGTTGTGGAAAAGATGTGACAACTTCTTCTCACACTATTCATATGTGAAAGCGAGAGCTTTGTTGGTGAGCTACTGAATAATTGTATAAAAAATATCACATCAGGGTAATAAAAAAAGAAAAAAGTGAATACTACAAAATTATTTGTATCATTTATTCAATTGGTTCAATTTTAAAAAACCTTTGTTTTGAAAATGCAAGTGTTTTACTAAAGTGTAAAACCGTAGTAAAAAACTTTGTTTTTACTAAATGTAACACACTATAATGTAGAAGTATGCAGATATAGACAGTTAAGCTACATAACAGTGTGGTATAAACCATTTACTACATGTTTATATGCTGCTTCTGAACGCTGAATAGGGTTAAATAAAGTGTTCTAAGACTGCTGAACAAGACAACCTGTGATGCAGGAGGGCATCTGAAGGATGGGTTTAACCCAACAGATATCAGACTGGATGGTGACTTACAGGAGTCTTTGCCCTCTGGCGGCTGGGGAAAGTTATTGACAGGAGGGCTTCGCTCCATCTCCACTCTCAGGACCTTCTTCATGTTCAAGTCTTTAAAATGACACAGGAAGAAAAAAATCAATCCACAAAACCGCAAAGTCAGAAAATATCAAAGAACAGTCTGTTGACGCCTCACTCTTGGTGCATTCACTTTTAAAAACTTCACTAAATTAACCATAATTAACCATAATTCAGGATCAATAGCTGACATGTGATCATTCAGGCCAATCTGTAGTATTTTGTGCTGCTGTAGTCGGCCAATCAGAGTCAGAGTTAGAAGGATTTCAATCATCAAATTCATTCAGTTTTTTTTAGAATTTATGTCATGAAAAATATTATTCCTAACCTGACATGTAATATAGTTGGCAACAAAATTGTGCGAAATCTTTCAGATGTGCAGACTAGCAGCCTACGTTGAAACCTCACAAACAGTGAGTCCTCTATTTGACTATGATCATGGAATACAGTGTGTCTGAATATGTACCAGGTCTCCAAACGTGTCCTCTGTCTCTGCTTGTGTTGCTCCAGGCTTGGTCTTGGTTTCGGCCAGATCCCCATGCCTGCTCTGGTCCTGAGGACGCCCGGTCTCTACCTGGATCCCTGCCTGCGTTCCAGGCCTGATCCTGGCCTCGGTCTCTGCCAGCTGCCCAACCCTGCTCAGGACCTCGGTCCCGACCCGTCATCCAGGCCTGGTCCTGTCCAGAATGAGCTCTGTCCCTGCCTGCTATCCATGTCTGGTCTTGACTGGAGTGTCCCACTCGGTCTCTGCCGGAGTTCCAGACCTGCTCCTGGGGTCGGTCTCTACCTGGGGCCCAGGCTTCAGGGCCTCTGTCCCTACTGGAGTTCCAGCCCTGGTCCTGAGGTTGGGACTGCTCCCTGCCAGCCTCTGGGCCTTGAGGCCACGTGTCCTTCGCCACCAATCTTGGAGGCAGCCTCGCTGTGGGCGGGGCCATGGAGCTTGGGTCCTCCCCATTGGCCAGCTCACCTGATGACATCACTGAGCAGCTGGTGGTTGGGTAATCTACTGTTCCTAAGGAAACACTCTGGAGGTCCTCATACCTGATATTAAAAAATGTTACACACGCATTATTTCAGAAATGACCATAAAACATTTTTTCACTAGTGTGGCAGAAATGCATTCACAGAACACGCTAACTCAGACCATTGGCCTTTCTAAATATCAGGCAGGATTGTCTTCCTCAGGCATTATGAATGCGATACAGTCCAATACATACAGTATTTATTGCATAACTGATGAATATTACAAAAGCTGCCTATTAGAAGAACTTCACTTGAATTTTAACTTGATTTGGACAAGATTCCACACATAAAAATCATCATCATCAAGGATTTAAAGTTTCCAAACTGTTAACAATGAAGAGGTGGTGTTTTTATTTGTATATTTTATCTTTACCTTTGTAATCTACTTCCTATTCTCTTTTCTTTGCTGACCTAACCTAACCTAATTTCCCCCTGGGATCAACGAAGTATTCTGATTCTGCTTCCTGAGAGACACGTTTATTACTACCATTTGGAAAAAAATACTTGGCAAAAAAAGGACTGCAGCAAATTTAGAACATCTGAGGCACAAACATAGTTGTGCATATAACAACAAAAGAAAATAAATGACAGCTTGACTGTGCTGTGGCTGAGTCAAAGCCCAGGAGGTGAATAGTTGGTGGAAGGTGCGATCCAAGAGAAGTTTCCTGTTTACCTTTAATCTAATTAAACATTGAGCTCTCTGTTCCCAAGTGAACTGATTTCACCTCAGTTTGTTTGCAATGAGAATGAAACATAAGGATATAAACATGAGTCTCTGTTAATGCTCATATTCAATTACTTTCTTTCTTTTTATTTGCAAAATAATGTAATGTTGGTATGATCACACACTATATGAATTAAAACAAAGTTCAAATAAACTCAAACATTCTTAAAGTGAATTCATCCTTAATATCTACATAAACACGTCAGTTAATGAAATTTGAGCTCATCATCACTAATCCTGTGTTGGCGGGAAAGTAAGATTTTAAAGTCCAGGCATTACAGCTGCATTGTACAGTGATGTTTAATGTAAAACAGCTGGACTTCAACTTGACATGGTGACAAATGAGGAGTCATCGCACTAGCCAGAGTGTCAGAGAGCAGGCATTAAACAGTCAAGCTCACAGCCACACAGTTGGAATAAAATTAGAAGGTAAATATACATTGTGAAAGGACCTTTGTTATAAAATTATTATTATTATTAGTAATAACTGTCATGTTTTTTTCATCATTGCATGTCCTTGATATAACGTTAACTTGCTGGATTAGATATTGTTCATCCATAAGTGTATAATACATAATGTTACTTCCACATTCCCGCCTGAATCACACCTGACATCCTGTTGACATCATCATGAATGTGAAGTGAAGCGGCCTGGTGTGTGATATCTACGTACACTGAATTTTTAGATGCAGACAGCTCATTTTTAGTCGTTACTGGCTCCATTAACAGTATTTTTTGTTAGTTATTGTTGGTCAGCTACACCACAGCTGTATCTGCTAAATTCCAGGTTTAAATGTTTAGTCTTTAATGTGGTGATGAGTACGTCTCAACACTCACTTAAGCTTGTGATGAAAGCGGCTGGTCCAACCAGTTCCAGAGATACAAAAAGTGATAAAAGAGGTGAGGAGTCACCAGATGACTTGTGTTTCCAGTATGTTATGTTTTGAAAAGGAGAGTAATAAAGTAAGAGTAAAAAAGAGTAAAAAAGCAATAATTTTGCTTCTTAAACAGTAGTATAGTATTTGTTTAGTGATTTCAGTATAATGTCAAGAGACACATCTGTAACCGCACCTGTCGTGTAAAGTTGTCATGCTAATTCAAATGAACTGTGAATAGACTGATCAGTCTCTTACCTTTTTCTACCATATGTTCTTTTCATCTTTAGAGCATCTTGGGCTTGAGACTCGTCATTCTAAAACATTCAAGTACAGAACTGTGAAGATCCAACCGTGTGCATAAAGTTAACAGATTTTGAGTATTTGAACAAGGAAATGGACGACCACATTCAAACACTATTTATTAGCAACATTTTCTGGTAACCACTCGATAGCTTCTTTGATACAACCCAGCGGTAGAAAGATAATTCACATACAGTACATGCAGAAACAGAAGCAGCAGGATGTACATTCCACTCTCACCTTAGGGTATCCAACTGCATTTGATTGACAGGCTCTTTCTGGCATTCGCTGAACAACTGTTGGAAAGATTGAAATTTAATTTGATTCAAAACAATGAAAAACACTATTGCAAAGTTACTGCATAGTTTTCAAAACAAAAACTGACATGTTCATCTACATGGATGGCACAGAGGCAGGTAAAATTACATGATGTTTCACAGTCAAAATTACAATGTCAGGTGTTCACTGATTATACTGATTGGAATAATATCTTTTTTTTGTACCTGGACATGGCACTCCACTTTTAGGTTGTGACTGGACAGACTTTCTTTTTCTTGGCACATACAAAGGTGACATATCCCCTCCGATGTGGGCAGGGTCCATTCTAGGGGTGCCGACACCCCGAAGAAATCACCACTGAAAGAATATATGAAAGAGAACATCATAAAATGTGTTGCACATTTACATACCTAAATAATTAATTCACATTTTTATTTTATTTTCTCTTATGTTTCCACTTATGTCAAAAGATCAATTGATTTTTAAAACATATAAGAGTAGAGTTACTCTACAAAGGGACAGAGGCACAGTTGCAGTTTGAAGCCACTGAGCAATCAGCTGACACGCCTGGTATTTATCGTCTGGTGTTACCGGCTCCTGGTGATGGGTTTAAAGTAAAATAAAAAAAGTTTGGAAACTACTCTTACACTTGATCCCATAATTCATAACTATTCCCACAGCTATGTTTGTGATATTTTATTTCATTTCCATTTTTCCAGTCTTCTCATTAGTATTTATTTATCAGCCAAGCTGTTTGTTATCTGCAAATATCAGAGAATCCAAACCATGAAAATGGACTGATCATTTGATCATCCCTTAATGTTTTATTAACTTTTAAACCAAATCAACATTTGAGGAAGTACAGTGCACTGATGCTGTATCTCCTCCCAGACTGCTCATCATTTTATATCGGCAATGCTCATCATTTTATATCGGCAAGTCTTACTAATTTCAGAAATGCTCAAAAAGTCAGATGTTGTCAGTAAAATTTCAGTATCATCATTTTGCACTGATATACTGTATATATCTGGCATCATTTTGATAACAGTACCGAGCCAATACTGTGCAAACAACATATTTTTAAGCAGCAGCTGACAGGCATGTCACACAGTAATACTTAATGCAAACTTGAAGAAGCAATATCATGATACTGTACCATGATTTACAAAGTTTATTAATAAGGTACTATTATGGTTATTACAAAATTAAATTTCTACATGTGTGACAAGAACATCAAAGTTGCAGTGTGAAGTTTCTTCAGAGGTTCCACGATGACCATGATGACTTTTGATTGTGTATCTGGAAACATCATCATAAAAAAACACATCACGAGTTCCTGTAATGCAGAGTTGGAAGAAAAGATTTCAAATAAGATTCCTCTGTAACATTATAAAGGCAGAATATTTGAGTCTGTTCCTGCAGACTCTTTCCTTAAAGGTTCTTTAAAGTACCAAAAACTGGTTGTGTTAACATACTGTTGAGCCTGAGGCACCGTTTTCTGCTACTGTAGGCTACAGCACCCGTTATGTTTATGAGTGTGTGTTGTATTTCCATCATGCTTGACATTTGCGCGATGTTTGCATGTGGAATTGCCCCCTGTATGTCAAACTGAAGGCCACTGCCCCCCAGTTTAATGCTCGGAAAACTCAACAGAGCCATCAATAACGACAGAAAATGTCCAACTGTTAAAAACATGATGTGTATGATGTTTTTTTCCTTGGTCCTGTGAACATCTCCTATTCCAGGACTAAGGCTTCAAAAAGGACTTCAATCCACCATCATTATTGTCTGTGTGGATAAAAAAAAACACATAACATTTAGGTTTTGACGACGACGGGCAGGAAAACACGTCCGAAAGCTGCTGCTAGAGCAGAACAAGTGGACTTATCCAGCTAACGAGCCATTTTTCCAACAAGCGGAGAGACACCATAACCTGACCTGTCTGCCTTTCATTGTTTCTTAACGGTGGAAGAAATGCGAGAGAGCCTACCGTCCTACAGCTCACTCCCTCTGCAAGGACGGTTAGCCTCCATGTCTTCGAGCCTGGCCTCCTCTGTCGCCTTTCCCCCGGCAGTGATACCACCAGGAAGGCTAACATCAAAGGAGGCCCGATTCTGGTGTTAAAAACTCTGAGCTACAACCTGAGCTCGCTCAGCATCTAAATATGAATCAGTACGCCGGCATAATTCACCACACTGTATTAGTATCTTCTTCAGAGGAACGCCCTCCTGCTGGAGAGAACAAATAAGACCCGCATCTGCTGCTGCCTTCAGGTGCTGTCGGAAATATCGCATTTCTTTTTCTTATTTTTTATATTTCTTATGTGAAAATAGCAGAATTATCCTGAAAATATTTTGGAAAAGTTTAAAAAGAACGATATTAGCAACTACCTCAACTAAAATGAATGCACAGATGTGGAAAGAAAAGATAGCTAAATAGATAAACAATTAATGAGTGACTCTAGATTTCATTGATCTCAGTGAATTGACATTAAATCAAAACACTACACACTTTGTATTTTGCCAATGGCATAATTTAAAACACCTATAAGTTATTTGTTTCACAGTCTTCCTTAAGGTACCCCACCTTGAAAAGTAAATTTCCAACCCCCATGAGATTTGTGCCCTTTGACATGGCCAGATTAATTGGCTGGTAGCAAAAATGTGCTACCAGGCCCCTATAGCGTTGCAAACTGGGAGTGAGAAGTGCTTTTCCCAAGTCCTGCGTAAACAATATCCTTAGTGTTACTTAAGATGGGACTCCCCCAGGTAATGTAATGGTTATATAAGTTAATGTTTTGGCCACCAGTTAAAATTCACCCCACCCCACCCCCACCACCCCCATCAGCAGATGAATGGGAGAGCAGCTTTCTTAGTGTCAAACTCTGCACACACACTGTACATCAGTCTGCACAGTGAACGTCAAACATCTAAATCAAGTAGCAAAAAGCAAAACGCATTTTGAGTGGAGGGGGACTTTAAACAACAGTCATCAGAAAAGTTACTTTTGGCTCAACAAATTGTATTTCAGTATTCCCCACTTTGCTTACGAGCAGACCCTGAAGGCAGCAGCAGTCAGCAGCACTGGGACCAGGGGGGCGGGCCCTTCTGGAAGCAGCCTGCCTGTGAGGGGAGGTTGACTGCACCAGGGGAGGGGGACAGGAGCAGTTATGTAGTGAAATTATTGTTTCTATCAAAATTATCCAAGTTTACAATTCAGTGTTCACCAGCTGGACACTAACTTTGTCTGTGTACTGTGGCTTTCTCAGAGCTTGTTTGTTCCTGGTTCTTTTCTCTCCATGCAGGGTAATATAAATATATACATATATACATATATGCAGTACTTTACTGCCTTGTTAACACTCTGCAGCTGATAAAAATCTGTCATCAATATCCATTGAATTGAGAAATAAACTGCCTGGGTTACGGTTGCACAAATGATCAGACGTTCCTCTCTGTGGTTTTCGCCTAGATAATGAAATACGCAACAAGTTAGGCAGTTAACAGTTAAAAACAAGTTCACCCCACAGCTAACCTGGTTTAAGATGAACCTGTTCTTCCCCAGTGATTAGACCCCCTCCACCCCCCATGTGAGGGGGCTCTAACATAAGGTATTTCAGTATTCTAAAAACTACATAAGTGACAATCAATTGCTGCACAAATTTGCTCCAACTACCCCTTCCTTCCGCTACTGTGTTTATACCCTATGAAACGTGACCCAACAGCACGTCTCATCTCTGCACGTCCTCTTCAGTGGTCAGCCTTAAAAGCACGTTGCTTCGGAAAACAAAAGTGAAAGTAACTGCAGTGACGGAGATATTTCTATGTCAAGCGGGGCTGGGACTGATATGCCAGGGACAACAAGAAATTATCAGTCTCTCTCGTAAGTAAGATACTTTGAATTTTGTAAATAATCCCAGTGAGGCTGTGAACTGCTGAATCTCTAACCATGCACCGGGGTAGAGATGACAGACTTCTCAGGTATATTAAACTCTGTCTTGTAGGCAAGTAAGTGTTTGTGCAGAGCAGCTGTGACAGTGATCTTGTGACGCATATACTGCCTTGCTTAGCTTTTTTCAATTTTGTTAAATTGTGTTGACTAAACGTTCCTCTCTCTCTCTTTTCAGAGAAATGTCTGAAGAAGGAATGTCAGGTGAGGAAATCATTGTGCTGTACTGACTGCAATTATCTGCTAATGCAATACTAAAAATAATAAATTACATTTAGTGATTAAATATACTCTCACAAATATTTGTATATCATCAATGGAACAACTGGCTGCTTGTTTGTGAAATAGGCTGCTAGTGGTAATGAATCATGAACTGACTCAGCAGACTGCTCCCAGCTACAGACAGCTGCAACAGCAGGCTGGCTAAGTTAGCAACTAGCTGCTTTAACAGCTGGCAGTTGGTGGAGATGAAAACAAAAGGGAAAGTCCATTTTGGCATTACCGTAAATTCACCAGATAGCCACAAATACAAATGATAATTTTTGCTCTATGTCTGTAAGAAAAAAAAGCAACTGTTCAAATTCACCATTGCATAACATGTTAGTGTTGTTTTTACAGCAATTAGAGTTGACCTTTGTTACAAATGTAACTGTATAATGATAATGTTATGAAAACATAAGTGAGCAGATCTGCTGCATTATCAGCAGGCAAAGCAGTCATGATTGAAAGTTTTGATTAATTTACAAAACATATGTAGATTAAAGCTGTGATTAAACCAAGCATTTCTGACTTTAGCAGTGGTAGTATGGAAAAAGAGACAGCAATGCACTCTGCTACCCCAACCCAAAAGTTTAATCACTTGCTGATTTGATTTGTTTTATTCAGTTACAACTAGGGCTTGACAATTAGACAAAATATTATTAAAATTGCAATATGATCACGTGCAATATCCAAATCGCTGGAGCTGCAATTTTTTTGATCATAGTAAAATGAGATGCTCTGGCATACAAATCATATTCACCAGACTTAAACGAACATGCTTGTTTGGTACAAGACCCCAACAAAAATCTCATAATCATCATCATCATCATCATCATCATCATCATCATCATCATCATCATCATCATCATCATTTTTAAATATTTTACTGTGAAAATGAAATGCAAAAACGACCATTCCAACAGAAATCGTGACTCATATCGCAATCGCAATAACTGCCAAAGTATTCGCAATATGATTTTGTATTTTTTGCAGATTGTTCAGCCCTAGTTACAACATTTATTGACTATGTAGTTAGCCAATCACATGTAGATCAGTATGTACATCAGTAAGTGATATTTCACAGTAAACAATGTGATGAAATGAAGCTGCGTCTGACTGTCCTCAGTTCA